TCGCTTCCCACACTAAAAGCACAGTCCTGGTCGAACCGTGGCAGATGGCTGTCAAGTAGAGTGACAACGGCGCTTTCCTTGCCTGCGACAAAAGGGCGTCATTCGCGCTGGGCACTCATGAGGTCGTGGAATGCGATCACGACAACATTCGGACAACCCTACGAGAGTGCAGGACCTGCGGCGGGAGCAGATCGCCAAAAAATGGACACATCCAGAACGCATGTTGCGCCTTACAGGCACCATGGCCGGGGGAGGGCGTGGCACTGCGCCGATATATAGCGGAGCTAGTGTCGACGCTTCGGCTTGCGCGTGGACAATCCACCCACGCAGAACAGCTGCATGCCGTCGCGTGTGCACACATGTACCCGCTTCCAGCGTGCACCGCAACGGCGAATGCCCAACCGAAAGAGAATCCAACACACCTTTAAGAGCAACGCGGCACCGAACCAGATGGCGTGCTCGCATGTCCCGATTTTTCCACTTGCGTCGGGGACTCACTATCAGCGCAGCTACCTGAGTTGCTTGATCGCTTCAAAGCGGGGCTTCTCACGTCCACGCTGTCCGATCTGGCGGCCATCGCGCGGCGCGGCCGTGGGGATCCAGCACTGATGGAGGTCCCCATCCCGGTCCGAGCCTGGCCACTTGTCTGAAGATTATGCGAGTCGCTTGTTCTCCGGGATTGAAGACTTGCTGTGCTGCAGAGCAGCCCGAGTTTCGGTCTTCTCCTCGCTCGCGCTCTCTTCGCATTAATACCGAGCACTACTATCACCCATCCGCTGGGCTAGAGCGTCCGTGCTGGGCACGGGACCCCTCCCCTGTCACACCGCGATCTTGACTTCGCAATGTGGACAACCGAATCAATGCAGCATAAATGATATTAATCGTGTCAGACTGGACACCGATGGCGACGTACCCCAGGGAAGGCCCGTAAATGAGAGGCGCTCGTGATGACGCAATGGCGTGCATAGAAGCTGCCCACCCTGCCGATGTCTTCGTCATTGATTCGAATCCCCCCCCCCCGCCGACCATATTCTCCGGCTGGTACGGCAGGTGTATTGCAGCGCATTGGCGAATCTCATTACCTCTTGCATTTCCATTGTGTTTTGCAGGGATGTTTCCAAATTGAGGTATCGGGATGAGTGTCTGCACCTTCTGAAAAATGGCACGTGAATTAAGGCAACATTCGTTTTGGCAATCTCCTACGCGGAAATCCACATGCGCTGCACAATTGCTGTGACCCACTAGACAGATTCCGCAAAATCGTGACAGTGCGTCCACGGCATTGCCGACATGATGGTCTTGTACCCCAACAGGGAGAATACAAGACCCCAAAGGAGATTTTCTCCATTTAGTAAATGTAATACGTAATACGCATTCCCCATGTAAATCTAGGATTACATGCAACAGATCTGTTGCATCCCGTCTTGAAGTTCAACTGAGCAGCCAATTGAAATATGCCCAACACAATCGCAGAATCACTTTGACAACTTGCTGCACATACTCAGTGAATCTGCGCACAATCAGGACTCGCACTGTCGACATTTCCCGGATGACAAACATCCCTAAACATACGACCAGTCCACCACAGTGCTTAGCCCGCCATTTCAACTCCATAACTCCATGCACCATCCCATGCGGGGTCCCATGGGGGATTCCAACAATCCTGCCGCAGTTCGAAATTCAAGCTCCTATGCTTTAAAGCTTTCTACAGTGTTAGGAAGGAAACGATGCGCCCTTCTCAGTGAACCCAAAATTTTTGTTTGAAACACGGTACTGTATAATTTGTCCACATCTAATATATGATCAACAGACTACGCCAATGATAGATGCGAAGATATTCGAAACTGCTGAGGCCGATGGACAAAATGCCCCACACGGAGATTCAGAGAAAGAATGGGACATGGAAGCTGCATCCGTTCAAGCAATATTTGTTGCTTTTCAAGCTCGCTGCATATCTGGAGATGCCCATGTACTGTACATGAAAGCACCTTTTCACTGATTGGAGACGCTATCGACGCCATGTTGCTGTAGCAGACTTACTTTCAGCCCTAGCCAGCCCAACATCTCAGCCAGCTCTTCTCTCGAAGGGTAACTCTTTGTTTCCTTCATCTGCAATGTGGTGTGGAAATCGTTATCTCAAAGCCAGCATCCAATTTTTATCCAACTTCCTCACAGTTTATCATATCTTCTCTAATGATTTTGGCAGACCATAACGCGGCTGGCCGCGTACATTGGATTGCTCCTGACTTTGGACGCCATTATTGGACTTGCCCACCATTTGTCGCTTTTCTCTGTGCAAATTTCAAAAGCAATACCATGTGCACCATGTGAAACAGCGCTTTCCAATCAAAATTTCATCTTTCAGGAACATGTTAAGTAGTGTCTGCAATGGAGGTGATGTTCACGGAATCCATGGAGATCAGAGGTTGGGGCCCATTTACTAGACAGTGCATAAGTTAGATCTCTCCCGACCAAGTGCAGCACTTGGTGGTGTATTGCATCGGAGGAGTGCACTTGGGCAACTACACAGGCACCACTGGGACGATCGAAGCCTGCAGGTACCGAGAGTAACAGGAAGCCGATCGTTTCCAACTCATCGTGCTCTATTAAACGTAATTTAGATGGGAATAAATGGATACTTCTTTAGGAGAATATGCCACTGCTAGAGCGCTCAAGCAGCACACACAGCTGCGCAGCCACCCAGCACTCCGCTATCGTGCTAAGAAGCAGCAGCCGAGTAGGCACCACTTTCTTCAGCATACACCGACTGCTGCCACGAAAATGCACAGTTTTAGAAGCTCTAACCATAAGAGAATGAGGGAATATCCGCGAATCGAAATCGCAAATAAGCATGCCGCGTTACACATCCCCCGACACCAGCCCATCACAATGTCTTTGTCCCTTGAGGTCAAATTCAACACATTAAGGTAAATTGAATCCTGCACAATTCCTACATGTAACAGTTTGCGTGGCATCCGGCAGCGGCCACGCCGGGTGCCAGCACTGGCGCAACATCTACGCCAACGACAATTGGCCCCCAGGCTCCATATGAGAGTAGGCTACTGAATTAGGTGACTTTCGCCATCGTCGCCGATATCTGGATGGATCCAGTAGCTGCCTTTGTCGGGCTGTTTGCTGTTCAGGAAGCACAAGTTTCCTTTCCTACTCACGACACAAAATGCTTCTTTGATCCAGGGATCCTGATATTCTGTCCTTCGTGTTGCAGCAACTAGTTCCGTGCCTCGCTTATTTTCATTCTGCGGAACTGTTCGGCTTTGACTAGCAGGCTTGAGCCCCTGCGGACGATTGCATAGGGCATGTCGACAAGAGCACTCCCAAGAAAATGTTTGTTGCACGCGTTGGTGTGTCTCCATGTGTCCTGTGGAAATGCAGCCTCTGCACCAAAGTCCGTCTGATTGAGCATCAACTGTTGTATTCTTTCTTCGCATTCCGCAATGAACTACGAGCTTCTACACTGCCCTGCAATGCCTGTGACTTCAAAGAGGTGGGGTTGTTCGCAGCCAGGCAAAAGCTCCAGGGGGCACCTGACCACTCTGATTTCCACAACTTGCATCCCATACTCGTTGGCCTCCAGAACGACGGCCATTGTCAATCCGTGCATAGAGGAGTAAACTCTCGCAAGGCAGACAGTTGCGGCATGGTAGGGACTTTTACTGTGGACAGAAAGTGACAAAACAATGGCTGTGTTTTGCAGTACCTATGTGACAAACACTCAGACAGCTGGCGACACGGCAGCATGCAAACATTCAGATAAAGAGCAGTCAAGGTGGAAGCATATGCCAAAAACTGAAAAAAAAATTCGCTGAAAGATGAAAATTGGCATGGAGACTGCTTTTTCTATGAAATGATCATATGTACTGCCCTTCGAACTTACATAATCTTGTTACTAAGCCAACAGAGTACATGCTTCCCCAAGTGTGCAGTGCATAGAAGCTACGAATTTGGCCTTTACTTTAAAACAAACCGATAAGAGTAAGGCAATTCCCCCCTAGCAGCTTCCACATCCCTTCCCCTTCAAATTCGTCAACGTCTAATATGTTTTCAACATATTTGAACCGCTGAGCGTGCGCAATATTCACAGAACTGTGCTGCAAACTGCCGCTGCCGACAGTGAAGGCCACAAAAGAAACTGTGGAGACGGAATAGATGCAGGACATTTCCTTCCTTCAAAAATTATTCGTTGCTCTGGGCATTTTTGCACATCCTGATGTGTCCGGACATGCACTGCACTCGAAAATACCAACTCACCAACTAGTTGCGCAGCCAGCGCCAAATTGCTGTAATAGAATGAGTTACGTCTGAGCTACTTCGTGTTCAGTGCCGCAATTAGCAGTGCGGAATACAACTCGTTCTCTTGCATCTTCGGATCCGCAATTGGTCAAGGGGAGTCCATTTCTGTTGGAACCAGGTTGATACATGCGTGTCTCTATATCATCGATGCACATGTACATCCTGCCCCATTAGTTCAACACCAGGGCACCCAGGGAGTACGGATTCCCGCGTTCCCTGGTGCCCGTGCCGTCGGGGTATTGACTGTGTCCGCGTGTGCCCTTGCGCGTCCAGCGGCCGCCAAAGGCGAAGGCGGCGGTTCCCAGCGCAGCGCGGGGTACGCGAGGAAGCGGAGGCGTTAGGGGCGGCAGCAAGGGCACATCTCTCCATGGCGGAGGGCAGCGATGAGGAGAAACAAAAGCCGGGGACGTTCAGAGAGGTGAAGGCGTGGCACTGCGAGCCTGGGAATCAGCGCGCGGGTGGTGCTGGCGTTGATTAATCTCGCTTATTGCCATGGGTCTTGTGATCCATGTAAATGGTGATAAAAGTCGCAAGCCGCCGCGCTTTGTGGCGCTGTCTTATCCCTGCAATGGGCTGCAAACTCTTGTGGGATCGGCGATCCTTGCCATCGGAGTGGGGCCGTTGATGCGGTTGCCGTTTCGATCCAGAATGTCGCCTGTGTTGTGAATGCTGACCTTGACTGTCTGCAGGGGTATAGTTTTGCAAGGGAGGGATGGTTCACCGAGCTTGCAAGTCTGTGGCCGGGTCAGGGACTATCGCTGAGAGTGGAAGAAATTCTGTTTGAAGGGAAATCAAGCTTCCAGGTTTGTGTTTGCCCCAGCGTCTGACGACCACGAAAATCCGAATCAGTGATGCGTATTATTCTCATTGGTGTCCCTGAACAGGGGTCTAGTAGGAACAGATTGTGCAAAGCAAGCACCTGTTGTCGAACCTGTTTGGTCTCAGCAGCGTAGGATTCGTGATGGCAAGTTGAGATTTTGGAGAGAAATCCCTGTTCTACAGTTTGCAATATATCTGTGCCATTAGCCCAGTGAAAATGCTACCAGAACTAATATGCAGAAGGTGGCCTCATTTCAATGAAGTAGTAAGCATAATGCACAGAGCCACACATCCATTAGTGTGCTAAACCACTTGCAGTACTTGAAATGAAGCAGTGTGTGCGGTTGTCTGCTTTGAGACGCCCCAGTTCCTAGTCAAAATTGGCGGTGGGGATTGAGTGGCACATTCTTGTGCAGGATATTTGCGTCTTCCATTCAGAGGCACACGGACGAGTGCTTGTCCTGGACGGTAAGAAAGCAAGTGTGCTCTGTGGAAATATTCCTGCTTATCGAATCTCAGTGTGCCTGTGTCATGTTCATTTGGTACTCTCCTGGGGCTGTGGGTGCATATACATACAGGAACTCAGCAAAATGCGTCCATGTTAGCAATGTATGGTCGTAACTGCCTTCCACAACAGAATTGGACCAGCATTTCAAGGCATTTTGGGGTGGCTGCTTCATGAACTCCGAAAATGGTGGACAGAAAGAGCACCATAGCAAGAACGCTTGTAGTAGTTGAAGTGGCAACACAAGAAGTGAACCCTGGACAATTCAGGAACCCTGGGGTGCAGCTGCAAACAATCTCGATATGAAACAATGAAATTGGGAATGCTTGGTTTTGCATGAAACATTTGTGTCCAGGCTGGACTTGTCCATTGTCCTCCAGGTGCCCCCTTCCCAAGCCAATCTGTATTGTTCAAAAACAGAATGTCCCATATGCCAACCAATACGTGCTTGCAAAATAACAAGTTCACACTTTAACCTATTCTGTGTGGTCTGCTAGCAAGAGTGCATGCTTCCATTCTGGCACACAACCACAGTAGAGTTTCATGTGTTGCTGTGCTTTGGTTTCCAGGTGTGATCCAATGCACAGAAAGAGATGAATTTGCATACCAAGAGATGCTTGTCCATTTGGCAATGTGTGCAGCACAGGTATGTTGCAGCCTCATGTTGAGAGTCATCAGCCAGGACTTTTGGCCATACCACTGAAGTTGATTTCTTGGGCTGGCTGAACAACCTTTTAAGCCCAGGCCCTCCTTTACCTCCATGAAAGGACTGTGAATATTCCAATGCCTTTGATTGGTACCATCACAGCACTTTCATTGTATACCTGCTGGGCCAGGACGCAAAAGAAATGTACACACGTGAAACATATGGTGCGCAAGTGAGACACAATGTAAAGAATGGGCATGAGACATAATGTTGTCAGTGTTCGGGCTCATGCAGTCTAATTAGCACTCCACACCATCAGCAATGCACAGTGGCATGTGTGCTGGCCCTCCTTGTTGTCCAGAAGTCATGCTTGATTGAACTCAAGGACAGTATTCCATCCTTGGCATCCGCGAATCTATGCTCAACATGAAAATGGGCAGGAAATGTGGCTCGTCAATTCTTGGACCGCTAGCATAATTCTGAAGTGTGGGGATGTCTGTGCTATGAATATTTGTGTCTGGCGATCGTCTGTAGGAGGCTCCGCGACGAGTGCTGGTGGTGGGTGGTGGTGATGGTGGGGTGCTGAGGGAGGTATCACGCCATCATTCTGTGGAGAAAATGGAGATTGCAGAAATTGATGGGTAAGGCCAGACTATGGTCTTGAGTTCGCCTGACAAGATTGCAAAACATACAGTCGTTGTCTCATAGAATTAAGCTGCAGGAATTTTGGGCCGTGATGTGGAGAATAGGTGGCTTGTTGCACAAGTTCTGCGTTGATTGGGTATGCACTAGATGATGTCCATTTTCTTACGCCCAGAAACCGTGGTCGTGCATGTTGCAGAAAAGTGATCGAAGTGGCGAAGGAGTTCTTTCCAAAGGTAAGACTACTAGCTATACTGTTGATAGAATCAAGGGGTGGTGCACTCGTCTGCATGGCCAAACACGATTGCACCTTCACATTGTGTTCTGAATTCAGATCCTCATGATCCTGCGAGCATCGACTCGTGCTGAGGAATTTTGTATGCGGTGCAGATGGCGATTGGTTTTGAGGATCCGCGTGCAGATGTTCATGTGTGTGATGGACTGGACTATGTCAAGAATGCAGCTGAAGGAATCTATGACGTTATTATCGTTGATTCCTCAGATCCAATTGGGCCAGCAGAAGTTCTGTTTGAGAAGGTACGTATTTCACACAAGCCCACCCCACGGCGCAAAAAAAGGCCACCTGTTCGTTTTCTGTTCTCACAGATATCATATTGTGTTACTTGCCAGGATTAGAGCTCTGGATCAGTGTTTGTCAGCCACATGGCCCGGAGTTTCAGTCATGCACACATACACGTTTAGTACATGCGTTACAGTTTTGTGTGGTGTGTTGTATATGTTGATGCAAGCTTGATGGGGCTGAATGGTAGGCCATGGCAAGTACTCAGAGCAGCTGTGTGCAATTGGTCTCCTGATTATGCTCTTTGACATCTGCACCCTGACGCGCTATTGCCGAAACCCCCAAACGAAAGGAATCATTGCACTTACGATGATGACGCTTGCATTCTGGGCTCGTTGGGAAAGTTGTTTATCAGCTTGTGGGCTTGGAGCTGGCACTTTGAATCATGGTGTCCTACCAGTGTTTCTTTCTCTTACTGGTATTCCAAAACCCGCTCAAGCACTTGAAATTTCGTGCATCATCATTGCATGCATGTGGCGTTCGCGCCTTTCTCATGACGTCTTCATGATTTAATGTGATGCAATGACGCACACTTGTGCACCAAGGTCCACTGCTAAGTCCTGTAGCTCAATTATTGTTGGTGAATTGTGTGGTGCTGTGCTACCTTCCGCAGACCTTCTTCGAGAACATGCATCGTGCTCTGAAGCCAGGGGGCATTGTGGCCACGCAAGTAAGCAGCAGAACTACTGGAACCATGTATCTTGCATCTATACTGTGTGCCCTGCGTACACTTCAAAAGTTGGTTTGCGTTATTTGAGGCACGAATGCAACTGCGGTGGCGGATTGACACACTGCTGATTGTGCCTGTGTGAAGTGGACAGCATTAGCGCTTGCGCGCCCTTGTGCTGGAGAGGTAAGCGACCCCTCCCAGCGGACGCGCATATTTGTACGTATCTTCAAACTTCATGGGTCGACTGGAAGTAATCAATTGTTTTGGGTTGGAATACTGGTATTGATGGGTATGGCATCCAGCCATTTACGGACTGTAGCACCGCAATTGCCGAGTTGCCCCGAACTGTGCTGCATCCACCACATCTGCATCTCGCGACGAAAGGTGTCCGCCATGCTGGCCCTGAAACACCTTACGTCTTTGGTGCACCGACTGCTGTAGCACCCTCCTGAACGGCATGTACCAGGGCGTTTAGCTTCTGTTTGTTGTCTATGGGGTTGTCGTCCTCATACCTGCCCGTGTGTGGGCTCTCCAGGCAGAGAGCCTGTGGCTACATCTCAACATAATTGAAGGCTTGGCTGGCATGTGCAACGACGTGTTCCAAGGCGGGAGCGTGTCCTACGGATACACCACCATACCTACGTACCCAAGGTTTGTCTACACAGCATCGGCAATGTCTCATTGGGTGCATGCCAACATCCAAGGAATGGTGCCATGATATGAGGTGCACAGGCTATTCACTGGTCGAAACAGCCCATAGTAAAGCTAAGCTGTCCTGGAATTTGAAAGCGTGCATGATGTCATGCAATTTCAGGAATTGTGAATGGTCTAAATACCCTGATTAAAATGCAAGAATGGTCAAGTGGTGCTGGCGATAGGCCAACCTGGTCTTCAATGACGGGCTGCTGCCCATCCTTCGAGATATCGCCCGCTGTTGTTTCGCCATTATTGGTTCCTCCTCTTGGAGTTTTGAAGTGCTCACCCAGTCCGCTGGTGGACTTTTGAAGGGCAACGGGATGAACAGGCATCACCTTGAAACGTGGAGGGTAGGCGTGTGAGGGCCTGCGTCCCAGTTGCCAGCTAGACATTGCCCCGAATGTCATTGTCAACCGGCGGGCGGCGGATCGCCGAACAGACTCGCGTGTTAAGGACAGTTCTAACATCTGGCTTTCTTGGTTGTGCAGTGGTCAGATTGGATTCATGGTTTGCAGCAAACGCCCAAGCCAAGGGCCTCCTCTGGATCCACGCGAATGCCGACGACCGCCACCTTCTGCTCCCAAGGGGAGGGACTATCCTCCGCTAAGGTGGCGTGTAATTTTGCTTCAGACTGTTTTCACAATGTGCGCATTGAATGACAAGCCCTTTTGTCCCGTATCCCGTGTTGAAACACGATGCTGTGATGCACGGGCGCCAGTGACCGCGTGACTGTGATTTGGCAGCGAATCTATGCGGTAGGACAAGGTTCACTCCCTCCCGACGAGCCGGTCCACTGTTCAAGCCATCCAACTACGCCATCTGCATTTGGCGAGTTTTCAACCAGTCTCCAAGCCTCGTGGATCGCTGGTTAGATGTTGAGGGGAAATGTCTGTGTTGCCGTGGAAGTCGTGTTATCATTGAAGTTGATTTGATGCATCGGTTCTTTTGTTTTTTTTTGCATCTTGTGCTTCTTCCCACCAAGGTCGACCGTTCTGAAGAGAACATGTTTGGCTGCAGGATTCTGGCTCACGGCCGACTCTAACGCCTTACCGCTTTTGTCAACAGGTATTACAACTCGGCCATACACCGAGCCGCGTTTGTGCTTCCGGAGTTCGCGTCCAAGGCACTTGCGGGAAAGCTGTCTTTTCAGTGACGGTGCTAACGGAAGCAGGGCTTTGCCGCTCGTTGCACAGCCACACCGACTCGTTTCTGCATGGCCGTGGGTGAAGAACGACCGACGTTTTGTTTGAAATACAGCAGTCGGAATGATGCAAGCGGACGCCAGCATGACATTGATGAGCGTTAAGGGCATTTTTGATGCGGGTTTACGCCCCCCCCTCCCCCCCCCCCTGCCCCAGATGGAACCTCGCATCCAGGTGGCGCTGTCATTTGCTTGCATCGCGATGATTTGCACACCATATTTTTTACGCGGCAGAGTGACAGGCAGGCTCACACGTTGGTTGAGTAAACTCCATCCGACCCGCCAAACTGAAAAAATATGCACAAATCTTGCTTGTGACAGTATCAGCGTCCCCACCTTTCCCAAGGAGTCGCTCGAGCAACACTCAGACGGAACAATCTAACCGCCTGCTTGAAAGCGAAATTGCGCTGGTGAAGCTATGGGAGGCAGCAATGGGGAGGTTTTTTTTACGTGAAGATGCATTGTCCGTGGTCCCCCTGCGTACAGTCATGGTTGTTGCCTATTTTCCGTCTTCGTAGTCTCGGATGCCCGTATTCGATACAACTGGATCAGCATGCAACATGGACGAAGTTCCGCATCAGTGCCAGCCTGCATGACACCGTTTCAAATTGGGCGCTACCGCAGATTGCATGGTGGCTGATTGCGCCAGAAATGGATGGATACCCCGGAACGAATGCCCTTCACAGCGGCCCCAGGGGCTGCACTGGCGGGACCTGAAACAAAGCATAGCTTCCAGTGCGTCGGGAGGACATCTGGTACCAGCCAATGGGCTCACAAGGACCTTGATCCAAATCTGCCGATTCCTGCAGTCCTCAACATGTCTAGAGCAAACTGCAGACCATGACTGGGTGCCTAAACGAGACACTGAGAAGTGTGGAATGTGCAATCCTTGCCTGCAGCACATCCTGGACCGATCATCAGTGCCAAGGGCAGGGCTAGGGTCAGGGTCCGCACACAAGGCAGGTCGTTGGGAGGCATGCGAATGGCACTCCATGTGGCACATGTGCCTCTGCACATCCACCAATCTGCCAACCTGGCCTGAAACGAGTGGCAACAAGTATTGAAAGCCTCTGCTGCTGCAGTATGCCACAGCATGGCCGACAGTTCCAGGGAGGGTTGAGAATGTATGCACCGTGTCCTCAAAACCGCGAGCCCCATGCAACTGTAGCCTTCCCCACCCCCCTCTATAATTGCAAATCCCAGTTGACTCTCCACAAAAGCTCTGACAGTGGCCGGCCCACTGCTCTCCCTGCCAGACCAAAATTGCAAGATTTCTAACTGAATCTGATGCTCATGGCTGTGTGGGCAATAGGGCAGGCAGTATGAACTTTCAAATAGCAACTCTGATAGCTGCACTTCCACTGCATCTCCCTCACCAGGAGCAACCTTGTGCTCCAAGCTCCTGCCTGCAGTTTATCCCACAGAGCCCTACAGGCAGGCCTCATGCCCAGGATGCATGTTGCATTGAGCAGGCAAATTTTCTTTTCCCATGACCATCGGAGGTGTGGTGGCGCACTCAGTCAACAAACCGCTCAATAGTTGACTGCAGAGTGGACTTGGCCACTGCACCGATTACTGTATCCATCTTCTTGCCTCCTTTGAACACAATTACTGTTGGTATACTCCTGATGCCATATTGAGTGGCAATGCTGGGATCCTCGTCAGTGTTGAGCTTAACCTGACATGCGCACAATATGATTATTAGCAATGCCAAACACAAAGGACGACATACAACATGGGTCAATATGTATTGGGTCTGCTAAGACATTGTAAAAGTGCAAGCTGTGGCTACACCAAATTGGATTCTTTGACCTGTAACGACTACCTGCTGCCACAGCTACTGACGCTGTTGAGAAGTTCGCGCTGCCTCCAGAGCAGCCAAGGGTCACGCAGAAAATCAAAACAAGAGCCAAGCACAGGGTGCATCAGTATTCGAATAGGCAGCCCAAGGGATGTTTCAATGATTTTCTGCTGGCTACTGCAACCAAGGCTCCCGGCACAACCATCTGACAGATGCAGTTCGTTCAAAGCACCACAACAGTATTCCACACCATTTGAATGCTGAGTGCAACAATTTTCGAACTACCTGCTCGCACAACTGCAATTTGTAGTCTTCAAGACAGAACCAAGGGTCTGTCACTGGACATGAAACACCTTAAGTCATCCCTCCTCGCAGCCTATAGTCAAATCCACCCATTCCAAATATGCCATGGTTGAAAGCAAGGTCCTCAGGAGAACCCAGCCCACATTCTTCTTTCTTGCCTCCAACGCTAAAGTGAGTTCAATTGCTCAGAGTTCACAAACATCCCACCAGCACTCACGCATCGTATCTTGTCGCCGTATTCCATTTGCAGTTCATCAATAAGTGGAGCAATCATGCGGCAGGGGCCGCACCACGGCGCCCAGAAGTCCACCAAAACGGGCACGGGGCTCTTGAGCACAACCTCCTCAAAGTCCTCATCCGTCACGAAGTCTGCCCGCCAACACACCAAGGCTGTGAATTGCCACCACGCACCACACCCCAACAACACCCCCCATCTTGCCGCTGCGTGTGATCCCCCTCGCTCCTTCAACGCCACTGTAGCTCCCAAGCACTGCCAGAGGGGCCTTGGATCTCGCCCCACGCCCTCATACACCCAGTGATCCACCACAAGAGCCCCGAATGTTCCAGGGCTGAGATGCCAACCAATGCCCGCGGGCGGGGGGACCTGCCTTGAACCAGAAACATCCGCACCTCCCGCCCGGTCGCTGCTCAACATTTCCGCGCACAGACGCCCTCGGATCTCGGCCCCAGGGACGCCAAGGCAAATCAAGCGCGTCAGCGAACGGCAAGCCAACAGCCCCACCCACCAGCACTCGGCTTCACGCTCGTCGCCTGCCCCTCATCGCCCCCATTTTCGCATTTGGCCACGAGACTCGCCCTGGCGTGGCCGTCCTTGGCCAGCGCCGGCAGCAGCCTCGGCGCCGCGAGCCGCGCGGCGGGCACCGCCTGGTGACCATGCGCCTTACTAGGTCTCGAGCCGGCCAGGCCGCAGGCGCGGGACATCGTCATCTGCAGGGCCATGGCGCCGGGGCGGGGGGCGGGGGCCAATGCGGGCGGGCGGAGGGGCGGCCCCAGGAAGCCTGGGGGAGGGGAGGCGAGGCAAAGGCGCGGGCGGCTGGGCTGCGTGCTGACGGCAGTGACCCCACTGGGGCACGAAGTTCGGACAATGCAACCCGGAGGGGACGGACCGATTACTGTGCGCAATGCCGTGGCAGCCACGCGGACCACAAAAGGAGGCCCAATGTGCGCTCGGCACCAATCTCCCTCCCACTTTTGGCCTTTCAGGCGCACGAGAGGGCGCATGGCCGGCCCCTTGCGCCTACGGCCACCCGGGGCGGAAGGCTGGGGCGGCGAGGCTGGGAGGGCGAGGCTTGTGCGCGGCGTGGCGAGCTGCCCGAGGCGATTTGGGGCCGTCCGATTGCGGGGATGGCTGGTTGCCTGCGCCGTCGCGCACGCGAGGGGCGGGCCCTGCGACCTGGCCGAAGACCCAGTCAGGTGGTCGGGGCCTGGCCGTGCATGCGGAGGCTTCTGTCAGACAGCGAGGGCGGAAGCAGTGCTGTCACATGTTTTGATTGCTTTTTGTCGAAAGTGTTCCACTGAGGAATTGCTGATCGATCAGTCCAATCCATCATCAAAACTCCACATTCCCAAAATTTATGCATTGGGAAAGATCCAGGCAAGAGACTATCTTTGTGCCAGCCATGCAAAGCGGCTCGTTGCGCAAAGAATACGAACCAACTTCCTGATCGGGAAAGGCAGAAACCAGGTAACATTTTTGCAATGTTCTCCCTTGTCTGCGCTGTGAATTAACCATTTGTCAGTTGAGTGTTGGATTCCCCTCAAATCTGGAACCGTCAAAAAGTTTGGGGTTGCAGTGTTGCAAGGATTTGGAACAAGGTGACGGCAACATGCTCTCATTTTCCTGACATTTCTGCATCAACCACCTTGTAGGGACGTGATTCAGTTGCATTCTTCTGCTGTCGCAACAGGGACAACATGACCACACCGTACATTCTTAATTCTCTTCATGGACTTTTGATTCTTCCACAAACCAAAACCATCAAAATGTTCGGCTGCTGCTTTGCACTTGGTTTCAGCTCATAAGATGCAAGCAGTCACGCCCTTCTTTTCCCCATCATATGCGCTCCAATCTCAGTGTAGATCCATGACTGAGTTTGTAATCTATGTGTGGCGTCAACAGGGCCACCATGACCCTTCTAGACTGGTCAGAAATATGCAAGCATGTTGCTCAATTCACTTGCACCGAGCAGGGGAAGCACTTGGCACTGGACTTGACTGTTCCCACAAGCGCCCATGAGAGCATCATGCTAAAGGATGAGACGCTTGCGGCTGCCACGTTGGAGTATGAGCTCCGAATACAATTGGATTTTGGAGGCATCTCAACAGACTTGGTGCAGGAAGGACTCAGTAGAGCCAAGCGTGGTGGACTAATGTCAGCAGAGCAGCTATTGGCTGTCATGACTTTGCTGAGGGGCGTGCAGGTGGTTTCCCAATGGATCCTGATCTGCAATGGAAACCCCTACTGTATCCTTCCTGCAACAGTACAATGGTGCATGGCTGCGCCATTCTGGTGTTTGTATATCTTCGACACGTGGAGCGGACTATTCTGGAAGCCGTCCAATATTGTAGTGCTTGGGCATTTTGCGATTGTCCCGATCAAGTGCACAGGCACCGTTTCGTCTCTCAGAAGTTGTCAAAAATGTGCCCTGGAAGTGAATGTATTTGTTCCAAGTAGGTGTCCGGTCAGTGAGAGCGACAGTGTTTCATGGGCAAAGATATGCCAGCAAACAGATTCTCGTCAGTGAGTTGTCCGTGTGCACATTTTGGACCAACGACAGGATAAAAGCGCAACTGCAAAGTGACACATGGCAAAAGATAGGACTAGCCTCGTAGTAAAGAGTACTGGAAGTTGTTGTTGTCGGTAAGAATACATGGTGCTTCCATAATAAGCACCTTTGCTTTCTTCTTGCTGTGACGATAAGGTTGCAAGTGTCCACGACCAGTTCATGATCAGCATGGCCTCCCCAATACCAAAGACAAGGCGGGTGTGTGGTAATGGGCACTTGTTGTGCTGCCATGTTGCAAGCCTACCATCGCAATTCAGCTTACACTACATGTTGCCTTTCTGAGCATACCTCCCATCGTGCGGGACCTCCCGGGTGCATAGTTCATAGGTGTGCAAGTTTTGTGGTGCTGTGTGTTTTCTGATTGCTCTTGGAATCTTCCATGCTAGCTGTCACTCTGTGGCGCAGGTTCACACCGTCTTTCCTCAGCAGGGCAAGGTTGCTCACCACATGACCTATTTCTCTTTCTTGTATTGACGAATCTCCCCTTGCCACAGGGCTTGAGGCAGAACATCTTGGGGCCCACCCAGCGCAGCATTGCCCCTGACGTGCTTCGGCGCTTGCAGCCCATCCTGGCTATGTGGAGAGGATACTCGGTTCCTCCAGGTCTGGTGGAAGCCATCGATTCCACCCTGGATGAGGAGCATCAGATTCGTGACTCTGCGAGTGTTGAGTTGCAGAAGGCACGCCTTCGGGTGGAGCGCCTGCGGAGCCAGCTGAAGAAGCTGCTCACCAACGTCAAGGGAGAGATAACTGAGCGATCAGGCAGGTGGTGCATCAGAGCACTGTTTCCATGGATTGAGAGTGCCAGATTTGCGGTGCTCAATTTTGTTTTGACGTTGTGTGCTTACTTTTCCAGAATACTTGTAGTATTGAGACTGTGTTTGCATCATGTAGGTGTTATTTGTTCTTCAAAACTGAGGTGCCTACTATGAGTGAATGTAATGCCATCCTATAGTCATGGAGAACGGAGAGGTGCAGCGGATGTTGCAGTACTTGAAGCCCTTGTGACTTGGGGGCTCAGAAGTGCAGAATTCTTGGGCATCTCACACTGTACGAAAATGGTTCCCAGGGTAGGGCCCATTCCCAAGGGCGCCTAGGCAGTAGGTTGGGAAGCAGATGTTCATATGATTTCAGGACATGTTGTCACAAATATGATGTTCTAATTGATGCCCGTATCTGTTATGATGTTGTGAAGTAGCATATTCAAAAATGACATTTGGTTCTGGACAAAGGGCGTACAATGTGTTTGGTACTTTCGCTCATTTGAAGTATCTACTGATACAGCAAAGCTGGTTCTGTTTCAAAGTTAAAAATTGCCCTCATATTCACAAGCTGATCATGAGCACTTGTCACTGCTGCAAGGAAAAACAAGTGTTACTCTTCCCTTTGGTTGTTTGTATGCAAGCATGTTCTTTGCAGACTCCACTCTAGCAGTGGCACTGTTGACTGAGTGCTTGTAAAGTTGCCATGTGTGTTTGAGAAGTGCGGCACCCTGCAGTTGGTGTCTCAAAATATGGCAGATGTTGCAAGACTGTGTACACTGCTCAGGTCTGCCATTAATGTTTATTGCATTTGTCAAGAGTACAGTGCTCTTGCACCTTGCGCCAAGACAGCTTTGATAGGACTCTTTTCCTCAGGTATGCAAAGATCTTGTGGCAATAGCTACACAGAGGCTCCCAAGATCCCTAGTTGGGTACCCCACAAAACATCTGCTTGGTAGTCACAAGAAGTTGATCAGGAATTCAGAGCTTGAAGAGCAGAGTATCCAAGGGACAAGTGTTGCCAACATGGTGGAACAGCTATGCTGCAAACTATTACCTTTGCTCACTGCCCAACATTTTGCCCAACATTTTTGGAGTTGCTTCTCTCTTGTTCTTGCTCGCTGGCAGTACCCAAGGCTGCTTGGTGGCAAGTGGGAATATAGACGTTTTGGAGAAGAACACCTGTATATATGAGCTGTGAATGATGTCATTTGATGGGTATGAGGGCAACGCTTTTTCAAGTTTGCAACATATTCGATCCTCAATAATGCGCAGGAGTCCTGCCAGTTGTAGCCCATTGGTTCATGCGATGGTAAATGTATGGCTTCCTGTGCTGGCACCCACATCGCCATGGACAAGAAGCAAGCAGACACAAGCACAGCTCCTTGGCTGCAGCACTGTCTATATTCAGAGCTGGTTGCAAGCTTATACTGAGTATTGTTATTGGAAGGGCGTGATTTGGAAACCGGAGGTGGAATCATGCATGCGGCTCTTTGTGGTACGTTGCCCAGATATGTGGAGATGCTATGCAAGTGCTGAACAAGAATTGACCTTCGATGCAGGTTCTGCATTGCTGTCTCTGGAGAGATCCCTCCCAGGACATTGCTGCTGGGATCCAGCATTGGGGGCGGCGTATTCTATGTCGAGCCACGCAATGCGATTCAACTGAACAATGATCTGATTGCGGCAGCTGGAGAAGTCATGACTGCAGAGGAGGCAGTTCTGTGGAAGCTTACAGGGCTGTGTGTTGACTCCCTTCATGATCTGGAGTATGCCGCAAGAGTGAGTCTTGTTGGCACTTGTTGGGGTCTGCATATTTGCTGCATAATTTGTTGCCAGCTTCTCCTGGCACAATTGCATTGATGCCATTTTGTCAAGGATGTGACAAGTCAAACCCCTTGCATCGTTTAGGCGTTGTTGATGATTTGTCGTGTTTCACTCAGATATTTGTGTGCCTTTTGCAACAGCATTTGAAAGGTGGACTTAGGATGATGGCATTCATCGCAGGGCTTGCTTCCATCTTTGTTGCAAAGTCTTCGCCCCACTCAAGGGCGTGCTGGGACTGCTCACAATAGCACACAGCCTGGACATGTAACTGGGATTGTCTGTGTCACCTTAGTTCAGTGAGTGCGAAATGGCACTCACCAGCTTGGTATTGTGCCCAGCAGAGTGTGCCAATGGAATAGCCGAGTCTTGGACCTGTGCCAGAAGATTCGTTGCAAAAGAAAACTTGCCATACAACTAGCACCATCCTCCTGAGCAAAACTGGACCAGTGGTGTCAATGGGCATCTTCCTGTTTTTGCAGTTGTAGAATATAGACTGATCAGCCAGGTTTGCAACACTGTCGACTGCAACAGCTGGATTCTGCTGGTTGGCTTCATTTTGCTAACAGTCTGCTTGGCAGCAACAGAATTTGTGCGTGCACTGCCGGAATTGCTGGGCTTCCAGGAATGGTTCCACTACAGAATGTCACAAGCGTTCTGTGCATTTGATCCTGTGTGGCTGTTCACAGCTTGTGGCTGGTCTGGATCTTGCGCTGGCAAGGGCGAAATACACAAGCTGGGTGGATGGCACCCTGCCTGAGTTTGTTTCCATGCAGCCAACATCAAGGTCAGATGGGCATGAGGAAGGGCATGGCGTTCAGGGGACGTTGATGGACAAGGGCCAAGCATTGACCAATGGAGCAGCTGAAAACAGCAGCTCTGATGGCTTTTTGGTTCGACTTGAGAGGTTTAGACACCCTCTTCTGCTGGGGGAATTCTTGTTGCACAGGTGTGTACCAGAAAGTACCTGGGCCCAGGGTCAGGTATACAATTGTAAAATCCAAATGTTGACATGTCCTGCAGGTCAGTGTCCGCCTGTTCAATCATCGATTAACATCAGTGATGCCATGGTATCATGCTGTCATGGTATCTTGCTGTCACTTGCATAGGAACCCGACCCCATATCTGGTGTGGTGCAATGTGTATTTTTGTGGAGATCTGTGTCGATTGCAGTTGTCAAGAACATGACAAATCGCTGCCATTGCACACGCTGTGGTACATACGTCCTAATGTGTGGGTGGTGTCATAGGAAAAAAGTCCTGAGGCGCGAGAGAATGCCAGGAGAGCTCTTTGAGGAGGATGACATCTTGCGTCCCCCTGTCGCTGTTGATGTTCGCTTCAGACCGCAGACAAAGGCCGTAGTGATTACTGGCAGTAACACTGGTAGGCAAAGAGTGTTTGCATTCCAGTTTATACTCTGGAGTTGATATACTTGAAGCACAGTGTAGTGGGCTGTGCCCACCAGCAGAGAGCATGAGCACATTGTCAACGTTTTGCAGAAAAGAAAGCCAAAGATCATATTAAAATGCGGAACAGCTCATCTCCTTCAACTGTAATCGACATGAAGCAGCCTGGTAGGATGGCCATAGCATGCAGAAGTCTAGGACAAAGAGCCTGCAGCTCCTCTGTTGCTTTTGATGTACCCTGCAGTTGCTGCTGGAGCACATGGATGCCAAAGCATTGCAGAAGCTGCACTAATGATATCCTTACTCATAGCATCTTTGACTGGAGGTGAGTGTTGAACACATGCTTTGCAAGTGTCTGAGTGCAGATCATTGGCACAGTTGCCTGCTTTGCTGACAGTGGAGAGTGAAGCGTTGTTCCTTGGCAAAGTCTGATGTGTGCAAGTCTAATTTGTAGTCTGATGTGCAAGTAGGTAACCTAATTAACACTGAATCTGCAGTTTGACACTCTGCTGAATGCTGGCCAGGCAACTCGATTGTTACTGAAACAAACAATGTAGATGCAAGTGTATCAGTCATTGCCTTGTGGGGCAATGCACATGGGTTGATTTTCACAGTGCTTGTCCATTAATACAGCTGCTGCTCTTCCACATCACCTGAAAATGACACGATCCTGACGAAGATCTTGCCACACCGATCGCTGAACCAAAATTGATTTGCCTTTGCATCATGTGCAAAGTCCTTCAGCCTATGCTGTCGACAAAGCAATGTGACAGAACAATGTGACACTACAATGCGACAGAACAAGTGCTGGTTGGTGGGTTGCAAACATACCTGTCCACCATTGATCGGATATGATGGAACGGCTGAAGAGTCCTTCCTTTGCATTTCCACAGTTTTGTCTGAATCTTGTCCATGCATCTGCAAGGCAATGAAAACAGCGTATTGGTGATCACAGGTGGGAAAACTTGCAGCATTAAGGGCGTTGGATTGGCTGCTCTCATGGCTCGAGCAGGCCTTGGCATCCCTGCTGAGCCCCCGGTGCTGCTGCCTTGCTATAGTGCAGTGCTTGCAGATATAGGCGATGAGCAGAGTCTGACTTCCAGCTTGTCGACGTTCAGCGGTCACCTTGCTCGAATCCAAGCATTGAGAAAAGAAGCAGACGGGAATTGCCTTGTTCTGCTGGACGAAGTGGGAACAGGGACAGATGCTGAAGAGGGTGCTGCATTAGGTAACGAAACGCGTCTTGGCACACACTGCACACAAATGAGCCCTGCGGTGGGCACAATAGCTGCATTTCTGGACGTGCAGGCAGACAGCATGATTGGATGGTGATGAGGGCACTCCATTGCGCATTCAACTGCTGGCCAGGAAGGAATCTGACTAGCCCCCAAGTTGCTGTTTGCACTGCCAGAAAGAATTTGCTGAGCTACCTTGTCTCTGTATAGTGGCCATGCGCATCGCCGGCATTCGCACAATGTTAGTGGTGAATCATTCCACCAAAGATGCCACTGCTACATGCGTGTTGGTCCATGTCTCATTGGGTTCATTGGGTTGCGTTGTACCCTCAGCAGTGCAGCATCTCAAAATTAGGTTCTCCAAGGATCACGCAGGTTCTGTTGGGGCTTATATGACTTGATGGTCAGACATGGTCAGACATACCTATGGGAGGAGCTGCTCTTTACTCTGACAGACCAGAATGCAATGTACATGGCTCCATTCGTGTGTTTTCCTCTGTGTAAACTGTAGTTGGACTCAAAAGAATGTAAATGATTGTGTGACCAAATTGATAGAGATGAAGTTTTTGAAACAGGTGCTGCACTTCTCATGGAGCTGGTTAAAGGCGGGCAAGGGGGCGCTCTCACTGTGCTGGCAACCACTCACCATGCCGTTCTCACCACCCTTGCCTACAGAGACCCCCTGTCAAGATTCGAAAATGCATCTGTGGAGTTTGATGAAGAACGTCTTGTGCCCACGTATCGGTTGCTCTGGGGTATTCCAGGTCGGAGCAATGCTCTGGAGATTGGGGCGAGGTTGGGCATGCCCCATGAGATTGTTGAAGCAGCAAAAGCAAGGCTTGGGGATGGCGAAACTGGCATCAGTGCAGTCATCAAGCAACTGGAGGTTAGTGACTTTGGGGCCAATTTGAATGGCACATCCACATTGAATGGTGGTTGTTTCCCTTGAATGTGTTACAGACAGAAGCAGCAGCTGTGTCCAATTGCGTCTGTGCAGGTACCATCATCGCCCAAATTTGTTTCAAGGACGTTGTTTGCCAAGTGCAGTAGTTGCAATCCCACCACAAAACCCAGAGGCAGAGGGCAATTTAGAAACGAGACTGCCAGCTGTGTGCAATAATGGGACCTGCCACACATCTCCACACTAGTGGGAATGCCATTGATACTCAAAGAAGAGAATGTTCCAAATAATGTTCAAGCCCTGGCAAGTACACTATCAGAATTGAGCCGCTCAGTGCTGCTGTTCTGGTGAATGTGTTTCCGTCAGGTCCGGGGTTGAGTAAGTTATTTCGGAGTAAAATTGCGTAGAACATTGAATCGTTGCTGCCAAATCCATGAGACAAAGCATGAACACTTCCAGGACGTTGAAGAAGTGCACCATCCAGACGCACAGCCAGAATGTAACAAGCAGCTGGATACAATGGCATGAGGTGGAGAAACACAATCAAAACTCTTACATCTACTTGTGACTGGGGCTTCCCTTGGCATCAGTGAATTTGTATGCATTTTGCCAACATTCAACGCGCTTGCAGTTGTTGATTTTCCGCAACGTATGCCCCCCTTCTTCTTGTAACAGATGGAGGACCTCCATGTCCGGCTGCACTTTCATTCGCGGGGGCGGGCAGTTTGAAAATGGTTTGTGCTGCGGCTCAATGATGTGGGCTCAGGTGGTTGAGAGGCAGCGACGACAGGGCCGCGATGAGCTACGCAAGTTTGATTTGCAAGTGGCGAAGCTGAAGCAGGACAGAGATCGCTTGAGTTACAAGGTTTCCGGCTTGCAGCAACAAGAACATGCTGCAAAAAGACGGATGTATTCTTCTATTCTTTCCGAAGCAAGGTCAGCACATAGTTTGGACTCCCTCCAAACTCCATGAAAGCAGTTCCTCTGCCCATGCATGCTGAGCGGGTCTATGAATGGCCGCAGGGAATGGAAATGCATTGCACCGAATCTGAACACAGGCCGTCTTGCATTGTTGCAGGACGAAGCTTCGTCAGATTAGGAGGGAGCAGCAGCTTAAGAGCCAACTCCCCGCTAGCAAGAGAAATGTAGGCGCAACGTCCACTGCACGGCGGGAGCAAAAACAAACGCAATCAGCTGCCAGAATGAAAGAGCAGCAAGCTGCCAAAAGTCGAGAAGATCTAGACGCGGAGACGGAATGGGACCCTCGTGTTGGAGACGTTGTGTATGTCCCCAAGCTTGGTAGCAATGCCAGAATTGTGGGCACAGGGCCTGGCGAAAAGTTAGAAGTTCAGGCAGGGAGTTTCATGCGGCTCACAGTGACGAAAGATGCGATCAGCAGAGCAAAGTAGCCCTCTGGGTTTGATGTGCTGCATATTCCAATTCTTTGTTCGCTTTCCGGCATCTTTTGCCAAAAGGGGGCTGTGCTGTAATTTCTGTCCTTGTCTACTACAGTGGCCACAGCCAGCAGACGATGGATGGTACATCTTTTGCTGATGAGACTACGTGCGCCCATCATGGCTCTGTCAGACGTCTCTGCAAAGCCTGTGCGCAGTTGACTGTTGCCAGGAACACATTATTGGTGTTCCTCAGCCAGGATATGAAAATGATCACTGTCGTGGCTGGCGGATACCCAGTCCCTGTCATCACAGACCCGTCTATCATTCACTCGGCCTTTGTGGCCCCCCGCGCTATATCGTCACTGCCATGTGGCTGCTAGGGTCTCAATCTGGTGGAGGCTACGAGGAATGTGATGATGGTGGTTATCGACAGGAGGACCTGCACAACCATTCAAGGTGTCAGATCTCATGGACGGATTGACACCAAGCCCAACCCTGAGTGATGCTTACACAGTGTTTGGAAATGGCCCTTGGGGCTGAGGCACACCACTTTGGCAGAGCGGTGTGTGTCTCTGCATGAGCTGCCTTGTCGAAGACCGTCAAATACCCCAATCACTTACGACCTCGGAAGGTAATCTGTTGTGCTCTTGCTGGGTGAATCTTAACCCAAGCCAGCCTGTTTCTCGACGATCGTGATAGCTGTACCCTCTTGGATTCGATTGCGTACAGTTGTTCACGGGTTTGCATGTGAAACCTCTATTGCAGCGCACATCCCATGTTCTGAATCACTGAATCGCTGAATCCTATCCCTTAGCCAGATGTGGGCGTTGCCCAAATCAAAAGGGTGCACCCACCTGCAGCCCACAAAATGCTATACCCACGCCGTTGAGGAACTGATCGATTCTCAGGCTGCAAGTCAACCAATGGGACACCCGTCAATCCAACTGTATGCCAATATAACACCTCGCGAGTTGCGAATTGGGGCACAGTTCTTTGCTTCTGCAGGGTCGCATTGCACGGCACAGAGGGCGGCTGCATTGCGCCAAGCGTTCCAAACAGAAAACTCACACATATGTTTGGTAGAGCATGTTGTAGACGTAGAGGGCCACCAGGGGTAGCGAGACGATGATGGAAAACACCAGAGGCGTGTGCTGCTCTGTCTTGTTCCCCTTAGAGCCTTCGGAGAGAAAGCGAGCATTAGCAAGTCCGGAGGTGCTTTTATCAGTACATTTATGCACAGAATGCACGCTGATAGAGCAGGAAAATTTTCGTCCCACTGCACTTGGGCATTCGTTCATCCGTGCATGGCCCCCAGTGTGTTGTCAAAAAGACGGGTGGAATTCGATTCTTTGTGGCGACAGCGCTGAGGTGTTCGGGCGCAGAAGTTGCGACACTCTGCCGCCCCTTTTGTGTGGGGTGGGGTAGGTGGGTGAGCTGAGTATCTGCATGCAGCGTGTACACCCAATTGCGTTCAGTGCAGCCAGCAGCTGCGCCAGGCATCCACAGGGAGTCGTTGCATTGTCGCACCAAGGAAAAGTCGGATAGGATCCAGCAGGGCGTACAATACGGCGAATGAGAATTCCATGCCATAGACGCCATGTGGATAAGGAAGCTTGACTCCTGGCAGTCACACACCATTTCAGACCCCTCCAATCCTACCGACCCGCTGTTTGCATCATTGTGACGCAAGTCTTTGGTTCGAACAAAGCGCCGCCACGCACCCCACGTTGAGCACAACTGATGGTTGAGGAGTAAGTACACAATCAACGCTATACGTTAAAACTGTACTTCTGTGCCGGTTCCTGGCAGACTAACTCATGAGAACATGATAGCAGAAAAGGCCCCACCTTTGTAGATAAAAATCAAGAGGTTGAGCGCCCAGAAGATTGTGTCGTACCAACCGCCAAAGTAGAAGAGTATTTGCAAGGGAAGCGAGGAGAGGACCCTTCTACCCTCTACATAAGAAGCAAGAAAGTCATATTCAGGCAGGCCTCAAGTCTCGCTTCTTGGTGGGGTCTATGCAGAACTTGTGGTTGGGGACAGGATTCGCTGCATGCTGCAACCATAATCCAGTCAAAGCACATGCCAGCTCGTCCATGCCTCCCAATGTACAGCAGGATTATGTCCAGGTTGTTGAACATTCCCTCCCTCCAAGGCGCCCACGCGATTTCGCGACCGTTCCCAGGAGCTGAACGGAAGGCGGCCACCACTGCTCCTCCCCTGAATTCCATTCCCTCCGCTGAATCTGACCGTTTTGTCTGCCTCCATACAGCGAATGTCCTGCACCTGATTTCCTTGCGCACCGCTCGCCGACAAGCGCGCGCCTGTGCTCTGTGACACTGCGCGTCTCCAGTTCAACTATTGGATATTGCAGACGCTGCTTTAGCCGCGAAAACATACCGCGGGAAACAGCCGCTGGTCCATAGGAAGAAAGGGACGGGTGGTGCGCGTCAAATGACCCAAGATGGTCACCCTGTTCTCTGTGCGTGAGCCCTGTGCTTGGCACGGCGGCTATTGATGGCTGGCTCGGCGGACTGCGGCAGGCCTCGTGTGCCTCCATTCGGTCCGAGACATAGGTTCCATTCTCTTTGAAGGTGAGGCTAGTGGCCTCGGGTTCAGCAGCTTATTTGGGCGGCGGAGCAAGGCCTACCATTGGACATGCTGCCTGTTGTCCACTGTCGCACTCTGCGGCTCCAGGCAACCGCCGTCTGAAGATTAGTCAATCTGAGTGCGACCACGGTCTCAGCTGCGAGCTGGCCTGTGAGTCGCAGGAGTCTGGGCCAGTGGTTGTCCGTCAAAGACAAGCTTCCAGTTGCCCACTGTGCCTCACATATCTGAATGAGGAAATTTTGGGTTGCTTGAGCATGCGTTTATCGCTCACTGCTGCCGTGGGAAATGCGGAGTTGCAGGGATAGGCGTCGCCAAATGTTATCGTCGCCATCGAAAATTCTCACATATTAATGCGTGGCGGCATCCATCAGCTGCCTATTTTGCCCCAGCAACGCCATGTGCATGAATTTTTGTCGCCAGGCATCACCAACCGGTGACACATTTGAAACAAACGAATGACTATTTGGTTTCCGTCATGATCTGCACATTGGCTACCAGTCTTATCGAATATAGATCTCGGCTCGAGGCACTCGACAAAGTATGTGCCCCACAATCAGCTGCGATGTGGTAAGCAATAATTCATCATTCCAATCAACCAAGGAATTTTTATTTCGCCACAGGATCTGTCTTGCATTTTCCTACTTGTTCGAGAAATGCCGCCTGTGCCAGCGATCTTCAACTAAAACAATGGTCAAGAAAAATTCTTGTCTACCAGGAGGTCCTGTCCGTCATAATGCACCAAAACAAGCCCCTCTGCAGGACGGTGTGCGCCTGGCATACATGCAACGCAAAAACAACCGCACACCGGACCTAAATTTTGTTGATTTGGGTTTGGGCGCAGTCTTGACCATGGACCCATTCGGCACGAACACCATTCGACATGGTTCGACTTGAACGCGTGCTCCCAATATTCACGATGGACCTGTGTGCCGAAAAGACTGCGGGTACAAAATGCATCGCTCCTTGCAGCAGAGCTGAGTGCCCACCGGGCGACGGGGATCTAGTGCCGCTCTTGGCTTTCTGATTTCTCGGATACGCGTGATCGCGGAACAATCGCCTTGCTTGCGGGCATGAAGGTCTGGCACAGCACTGGGAGCCTGATGGTGAGGGAGTCGCTTTTTATCCCTTCGTGTCCGTGCGTCGGCCATTAACTTCTTTGAGGATGGGGCGTCCCCTAGGCGCTGTTCAGGGCTGCTGAGGAACCAACTCGCATGCTGAGAGTTGCTTTCATTCAGCATGAAGGAGATGTACGCAACTTGCGCCCCACCTCCATGTGCAGGATTAGTCGTCGGGTGGTCACGAAAGGAAGCTGACTTTTTTCGCCTCTGTTTCGCCTCACCCTGGACTCGCCTAAATAAGGTACCGCGTGCAAACTGCATGCGCAATTGCGGTTTCAAGGTCGATGACTTACTCGTGACAACAATTGCTTCCGCCCCGCTGAATCAAAAATTGGACCACCGCACGAAGATCAGTCCTTGAACTGGCCAGGTGGCGCTTTGCGAGGTGCAAATGCAAGGTTGGGTTTCCACAACCATGAGTGTCCCGAAACACCCTCCATCCGTCACAGGCTCTGTGGCAATACTACATACATGAAAGTGGAACGGTTCGCATCCCTGCGGTGTGACAGGGACCTTCTGCCGTTCCCCATTTCCACCACTAGTGTATTCCATCAACGCAATGCACTCCAGTCACCGGAGTCCGCTACCATGGCGAGGCGCTCTGAGGGTTTGGGGCCCATCCAGGCCTCACTGTCGCCAAGTTGTTGGCCCTTCAATGGGGCTGCCCGTCCCGCCGAACGAAGCCAAAGAAGGGGTACCCTGTGGGCGGCGGTGGCGGCCTGAAGCGTGGGAAGAACGGTTGTGGTGGTGCCGGCGGCACGATGGGGAACGTGAAGGGCATGGCCGGCTGGATAAAGGTAGGTGGAGCAATGAAGGGTAGACGGTTCATGCCAGGGAGTCCACCTGGGGCGCACGTGGAAGGGGAGCATAGCACAGCACATCGTTATGGCATGTGTTAATCATTGTCCATTGCAGATTGCGGAATCCATCGAATCGTTGGGTGAGAGTGCGGGCAGATTCTCTTTGTGCTGCTTACAATGGGGATGACCTTGGTCGCTGTAATTCGCAAGCGCGTGGACGGTATCTTGTGTGTGATGATTCCTTAGGCACCCATTCACGGCTGTGTGGGGAGCGAAAATGGTCGTGTATGCTTGGGGTTTGCTCCGAAATGCTCTTGCATGGGCCGGGTGTTATCTGGTGTTGCCCCCCTTACCTTGGCTGCCATAGTGCATGAGGAGGTCCTCTCCCCTGAAAGACGCGTGATCTTTTGGTGCCGTTTCCACCACCCTCTTGATTTTTTTAGTTTTCGGTTTGCTGGGCTGCGGCGGTGGTGGCGGCAACGGCAGTGACATGGGTGGCGGCAGTTGCTGCCGGACGTCAATATCCGGCACCTCATCCTTTTCCAGGGTACCTTCCCTGAAACGCTTTGGCAATCTCACCATCCTCCCAGTCCGTGTCGTGCCTACGTTGAATTCTTCCACGAGTTCTTCCTCTCTTCCAAGCTCTGACACTGTTAATTCCTCGGCGCCGCACGCAGCGCCTTCGCCATGAGTCGTATGAAGTGCCGCCAGCCCCCGATCTTTGCTCCTTTCCTTGCCCATGCTTGCTAGCGCTTGTTTTATTTGCTCCTGCGTGTACGAGCCTGCCGGAAAGTCCATTTGGGCGCCCAGGCCAAGCAGCCCCAGCACAGCACAGTCGTGGGCCCGTGAAGCATCCTCAGGTAGCTTGAACTTTCCCACCTCCACAGGACTGCCGTCGCGGTGAACAAACGATCGCCGTTCCCCACCTTCTGCCTCTGTCACACCAAGGTGTCTTGACCCGTGATTCGGTTCGATGTTCTCGGGACTCTGTTCTGGCGCTGTGCTGCCAATCGCCTGGCAAGTCGCAGTGGCAGAGACCACATGCAGGGATCCACAAGAATTTGCTTCGTCAAACTTTGCAACTCCATCTTTCAAGGCAGTGCAACCACTATGCTCTCTGGCTGTAACTGAGGCAGCATTGCCTACGGCGGCGCCCTGGCAGTCTGACGCCGTCACCTCTGACAAGTCCTGCTCAACTCCGCTGACCTCCTTTCTTCCCTCAACGCCTTGTGAAGTGGCAACACTGTCTGTGTTCCATTTCATCTTGTGATGTTCTGCCAAGCCGTCAGCCGCAGGAGTTGGTGGTCTGCCTGCGAGCCCCTCATCTCTCTGCGCCTCACTTCTGCCATCCTCCACCACTGGGGGTGCTTGACCATTGAGCACACTTGCAGCCTGATGCTTCGGTGGAGCTCCAACACTTGCAAGGTGACAAGCGAAAGGCTCAAGAGTCACAACATGCTTGTCACCTTGTGACTTGTTCTCAACATCTCCGATTCCGTATCCATCTGCATAGCCATTGCGCACAATGCCGCTCTCGTTCTTCACCTGGGAAGCCTGCAGGTCGCCCTTTTCTTCAGTCAGATGCCCTTCCATAAGCATCCCAGTTTCATTGCCACCTCCGATCTTGCTACTACACTCCTCAAGTGCCTGCAGCTCACCAACGTGGCTTTTGGGCCGCCTGGTTGGTGCAGCCACATACCTAACAGGCGCATCTGCCTTGATCTCTGAATTTGTTTGGTGCCCTGGTTGTGTGTTCTTTTCAGCTGGCACACTCCCCAATCCAGCCGCTCCTTTGTTGCCAATGCCACAGGCGTCCGCATCTCCTTCTTGTTCATCCGACTTCCTACTGGCAGGGACTTCCATGTCCTGGCTCTGCTGCTTTGCCACATTGCAATGCCGATCAGCAGCTGTCTTGCTCCCATCACTGGGGTCCGAAGGGGGATCGCCGATCTGACAGCAGCCAGCCTCTGAGCCCGTCACTGGGTCCTCATCGACGAGATCTCTTCGTTGAGGTACTGCATCTACTCCAAATTGTGACCCAACTCCCCACATTCGTGGCACGGGGTTTGACATTGCCCTTGGTGGAAAGGGCCACTGTGCAATCATCCCTGGAAAAATCGGAGGACGGGGGCCCATGAAAGATCTGTTCAGTGTGTGGAAAGATGGGCGCTGCCTGGACCCCGTGGGCTGTGGCTGCTGTGGCTCTGGGGATGTTTCTGAGCTCCCATTGCGGGCAGCCTTCAGCCTCAGGCCAGCATCGATGCCATTCTTCAGTGCGCACCAGAACGCCGACTTTGAAAACAGCTTGGGCAGTTTCTGCAGTGTTTCTATGAATTCTTCCAGGTGGTATCGATGCTTGGGATAGTTCAGCTGAGCTGCCGTGCCCTTCTGGGCAATGCTCACAATGTCATGCAGCTGCGCCGCCTTGAGGACGGAAGAATGGTATCCAACAGCAACCACTGTGCCTTCTTCATGCTCCACATAGACCAAGTACTGCCCTGCCATCTTTCCATTCGTCACAAGCCGTACACCACGGACACCCTCGCAACCAGCACTGTTATTTGTTTCAGGGCTGCCCGACATCGTCTTCGCATCGCTCTCTGTTTCGGACCCATCTGGAACCGGAAGCTGATGCCCATTCTGACCAACTGCATCTGCTGCACAAGCCATCCCATTAATGGCAACAGCGCCACCCTTGCCACTTGATAGGCTGTGTGCAGGCTCACACCTGGTGAGTCCATTCTGGCAGGGATGTGCAATGCCATTCGCCCTGGGATGGGACAGGCCGGCATTTGCAGCAGCCAGACTGTCAGAGCACAAGCCCATGCACAGTGGTCTATAATGCTCTGCCTTCTGCAACAGCAACTGGTTGAGCCGTTCCCTGGCATCGTCTGGATACAAGCACTTGGCGTTGACCAGGCACTCCACAACACTCTCAATCTCATTCGCCGGCATTTCAAGGAGGATGTTGGAGGCAGGCTGAGGGCTCGAATTTTCGGGCCACGACCGCAGATATCTTGCACAGTGGTAGAGTGCAGTGGCTGCCCGGTGTGATTTCCTGAGACCCAAGGAAACATCCTGCACCATCTCGTCATCGTGGAAGACTGCCCTCCAGCACCGGCTGCCGTGATGGAATATGACACCATCACGCTGCTCGGGGGCAGATAGTGTGTCGCCAGAGGGGGAGGCGGCCGGAGAGCTGAACCTGAGTGCAGGAGCAGATGTGTGAATCAGAGCTGTCTGTGCGCAGATCTGCAGAAAACCTTGCCTTGTCCGCGAGGGCAAACACCAACTATGGCCTTGGATTTCCTTGGCCCAATCGATTGACATCAGAAATTTTGCATCATGCACAGACTCCCAAGGGACATCTTTCTTGATTTTAGGGCTGCAGCCTTGAAAAAGTCGTTTTTGTGCTTAGAGTGTTGTGTTATGCTTCTTGATGTGGGTAAAGCTGAGCACAGCAGCAGTTATAACCCACAATGAGGCAACCCTTTTTTGATCAGCATTAGCAATGTTTGGTCCTGATGGCCTCTGCCAGGCTGTACGGCAAAAATAGTGGAAAGCGGTCCGGGGGTTGCTGGGCGGACCTTTCTTGTGGACGCGCATCGCATTCCGGTGCGTTTGCAATAGCTCCATTCGGCCATAAAGGGGCAGTCTCCATTCTGACAGCACGTCCGATGGTCACCTGCAGTGTGCAGACAGCCACTGAGGCGGTGGACACCGCATGTAACAGTTTAGCGGCCCTGCAATTAAGGCGAAGAGAGCGGAAAGAATTTCGAAAAGCGGATATACTTCGAAAAGCAGGCAGAAAGGCTTTCGAAGGAGAGCCGACAGTGGATTGCTCCAAGGCGCGCTGCCACACTGTGGGTGCCATTCTAGCCCACACGCAATGTACAGCACTAGATGAGGCACTGGTGGCGTCCACCGCACACAGAAAATCCCCCAATACCAGCGATTGTTCACAGAGCTGCAGCTGCAGAGTGAAGCTGTTGCATTTGGACTTGGAGCCGACACCCCTCGCCGACTTGTGGCATCATATATTAGCTCATGCGCCACCTGCGGATGAGCCCAGCGCATATGGCTGGCCGCCTTGTGGCCCCACCACGAGTCCCGGAATCCCCTTCCACGTCAAGCCCGACTATCGGAGCCCCACCGCCGCGGAACACAAGGCCCGGCCGAAATGCACTCGCGCCAAATTGCCCAGACCTCCGTCCCCATGGGCGCGCTCCCAATCAAATCATTCCCCCGATCATCTGTTCGAGCGCAATTGTACCCCCCTCGGGCGGTTCTCGGCCACCGGTACCTGGAACAAGTGGCGTGGACGTCCGCCGGATCCTGGCCCCCACCCCTTTGATGCCGGCGCCCCCTCGACGAGGGGACACGCACCTCCGGCGCTGGCCTCACGGAGACGTCCCCGCGGTAACAGAGGCGGACCCGACCGAGCCCAGCCGCGACCACCGCGCGTAGCGCACGCTCGTGCGCAGAATTCCCAGCGACGCTGGGGCGGACGGGCCCTTGGGGTTTCTGTCACAAGGCATCTTGTCCAAATGACCGGCTGCATGGGTTTTTGATGATCGACGCCATGGCCCTGGCTTTCGGGGCCAAAAGACCGAATGCAAAGACAACTGCCAGGCGAGCGTGGCTGCTGGGAGCGCGATGGTTGACCGTCGCCTACGGGAGCTCGCGCTCCGGCTGTCTCGCGCTGGCCCAGGCCGCGTCTACGAAGACTGGCGTGCCCAGGGGTCCAACGCCATCGCCTGCTTCTGCTCATTTTTGGGCTGCGGGCCGCAGGATGTCCCCCCTTTGCACCAGGTGGGTGCCAGACCGCCGGGAGGTTGGGATTGGCACCGCGGCACCTCTTCCTCTGTGGCAGGCTTGGCGGTTCACGGGGGCCACAGGCAGTGGAGGTTTGGGGATGCGTCCCGTGGGGGGTCGTTGGGACGGACGTGCTCGGGGGTGGGCCGGCCGGGGGCGGCCGGCGCAGCGAGGTGCTTCGCGGCGGGCAGCGGGGACGACGGAACTGCGCGGACCACGAAGAAAAAACATGATGAAAAGATCTTAGAGAAACAACCCAAGGAGAAGACAACGGGGAGACAGCCTGAAGAGAAGGGCGCGTCGACGGGATCATCGACCGAACAGCCGATCGACAAGACAAAGGAACAGGAGGCGATTGACAGTGCCAGATTGCTGGAGTTGCTTGTTGGGCAAGTGAAGGAGGGATACGTTGGGCATGAGGAGATAATCCGGGGGCTGACGACGGGTCACTTGACTCGCGAAGATCTGGACGTGCTCCTTGAGCGCGGGGCCATCGACGAGCTGGACTTGAAGGAGATTGTGACCGAGGCCATCGGTGCGTCGAGCATGAGCTTTTTTGAGATAATGAACCTCGTGCAGCTCCGGCTTGTGGGCAAGGCGGACTTGGAGTGGTTGGTGAGGGAGGGCGTGCTGGTGCACGGCGACGTGGAGTTCCTTGTGAAGAGGGGCCTTATTTCGAACGATGTGGCTGAAGAAGTGAGGCTCAAAACGGGGGATGTGGACTGCAGTGATCGAGTGGGGTTCTCGGACGTTCTGCGAGGAGTGAAGTCGGGGCAGATGAGCCCAGAGATGGTCCAGCACATGATGTTGGACGGGTTTTTCGCGTCTGACGACATCCAGCTGCTTGTGGAAGAGGGCGCTCTTGACGAGGCTGTGGCGGACAAAATGCTGCAAGATTCCGCTGAAGAGATCAGGATGGCGTATGCCCAGGCGGAGGAGCTGGCCTCCGTGGTAGAGGAAGGCACGATCAACTTTGAGGAGCTGGAAGTAATGCGAGAGAAGGGTGTGCTGGGTGACTCGCTGATACATTACTTGGTGAGCAAAGAAGCGCTTACAAGGAGCAAGGGGAGGCGACTGTTGGCAATGAGGCCAGAGAGTGCAGGGGAAGTGGATGAGGGTTCCACAAGCGAAGTTGTGGAGGAGCCTGGTTCCAGTGCAGAGGCAGAGATGCAACAGGCATTTGAAAAAATGATGAAAGAAGCAGATGAAAGCAGCTCAAATGGTGTAAAAAGTGCGGAGGAGGGCCAGAAACAGGCTGAAACAGGGACTGGGACGTCTCAAAGCGAGCAGGAGGTTGAAGATGACGATGGATTCTATCCGAAGCACATCGATCCCAATGACATTTTCGCTCTCTGGGAACACCTGGAAAAAACTTACAAGGGCGTGCCGGGGCTTCCCTCTATTGAGGAGATATTGCAAGAAGAGGCCGAAGACAAGGAAGTGAAGAAGAAGAAAGTGATCGAACAGGAGCGCATGCAGGAGGCAGCAATCGAGCACCCTAAGGTCGTGGACGATCTCGGCAGGGCGTATGCGACAGGCAAGCGCAAGTGTGCGATCGCCAGGGTGTGGGTGCGGGAGGGCGGAGGCAAGCTGATTGTCAACAAGATGCCAATGCACGAGTACTTCTTGTGCATGGACACGAGAGCTTACGTACTGGCACCGCTGCTGGCAACAGGGACAGCGAAGTCAATAGATGTGCGCGCCAACGTGAAGGGAGGGGGTGTGGCGGGGCAGGCACAAGCGCTGAGGCATGGTATGAGTCGAGCCCTGCAGCTGTGGAACCCTGAACTCAGGCAGCCCTTGCGCAGCCTGGGCTTGCTGACACGGGATGCCAGGGAGGTCGAGAGGAAGAAGCCTGGAAAGGCCAAGGCTCGAAAGTCGTTCCAATGGGTGAAGCGGTGACACAGCTGCACTTGGGCTTCCTGGTAAATCTCAGGATTGGTGCAATGAACGGGCTGTCTGATAAGGGATGTCCACTGTTTGGGATCAGACCCCCAGGGTACATAGCACATGTATTGGTGTTTTTGGGCGAGGGTTCGTCTGCAGAATGGACGCATATGCGTGGCAATGTGTTGCAGGGTGCACGCATTGTAATGTGGTTATGTGCTGCAGGCTGCGCAAATTGTATCCTTTGCAGGATTTTCCAACCTTGTCGGTTGCTGGCATCCTTGCAGTCCCAGGCTGCAAGGCGTGCTCCAAGAGTTCAGTGGGGAAGCCCCAATCAAGCAATCCGAACAATACAAGTAATCAACACGCCACATCCCATGACTATGAGATCACATTGCGCCCAGTGCCATGCTGTGTCTCAACCTGTCCCCTGAAAACAGCGGGCAGCTTCCAACAAATGGGCTGCTCTCCCACAGCCATTCCCATGTTCCCAAATCCTGGCCTTTCTCTGTGCTTAACCCAACAGGTCCTTGAACGGGTCTTCCTTCTTTTGGATGCCTACTTTTGAGGCACCTGCAGCCGGTCCACTGGCCATCGGTACCCCACCCAGCCCACCAGGCATCGCTAACCCCAAGCCCTGCAACCCCCCAGTACTGGCCCCAGCTGGCTGCGGCTGGGCCATCGGCATGACCACCGGCATGGGCATCCCCATAGGCATGCCACCTTGGGGCCCAACGCCAACGCTCGAGTCGAACATTGAGGCACTGCTGGGCTGTGCACCATAAAGGGCGTTCAAGTCGATTGGGAGTTGAGTTGTGCCTGCTGATGCTGTGGAAGGAGGCGTCGCTGTGGCCGACCCCCCCAAAAGATCCATTCCATCCAAGGCAGCGAAAGGATCTGCACAGAAACACGGCCATGTCACATCATGTTTGGCCATTCACCTGACCACATGTGCTTTGGCAATGCAAAGCTCCAAAGTCATTGTCATGCAGTGGCAAAGATCTTGCCGAACAAACAGCAACCCTGCAATCATGTTGTAAGCGACGGAAATTGCATCGCCATTGTCATGCAATAGACTTCGCAGCACCAATCGATCAGCCAGTCGGGTGCATCTGATCCCCCGCGTGCCCATCATGGTGGACCCAGACAACGACATTTCTGCACAACTGTGGTTGCTGAGCAGCAAGCAGCATGAGACGACATACCTGAATTCTGGGCGGCTGCGGCAGGCGCGGGCTGTGGTGCCCCTACATCCAGATCCAGAAGGTCTCCCATGACATCGGGCGCTGCCATGGCCGGTTTTGCCTGTGGTCGAGGCCTTTGGGTCGTCTTTGGCTGGAGACCAGCCTGGGCCCGGGACCTGGCAGTCGCCAACAGATGGTTTCAAACACTGAGACTACCAATTGAGGAGTCAAAGACAATCACTCCAGCCGCAAGGGGTGCATCTTCTGACAGCCACCGTCAGAAAGCGAAAAATTACTGGCAATGTACCTTCTGAGGCAATGGCAGGTGCAACTCCACCCACACTGCTTGCTTCGAGACAAGCCAAGCTGCAACAATGCAGCGCCAGCCGACTGCACCCTGGCAATCTGGCCACCAGCTGCAGGCATGAACTGTGGGAATTAAAGATTAACGCAGATAGTATTGTGGCATTGCCTGCAAAGCGCTGGAGTAGTGTTCCCAACTTGACAAAGCACAATACACGCATCATGAGATTGTGATGCATCCTACTGCGGCCACAAACGCCACCAGACACAGAGCATTCTCGGAGAAAATGGTGAGGGAGAGAAGTAGCGAAAGGTGCCCTGTCATTCATGGTGTCATCCCAGGAACTAACTGCCACGTGCCAGCGGATACAACAAAGCATTCTAGGATAGCTGATTAGAGTGCGCCCAATCAAGAGACTTCCCCAATTGAGGGAAATTATCCAGGTGGATGCCAACGAACAGGGGGGAGCCGAAGAGAACATTGTTCTGGTTACCTCGTTGGTCGGCTCGACTGCTGTGGGTCCCCAAACAGGGTGGCCTGAAACTTGTCCCTTTCGTTCTTGTACGTGTCGGGCTCGTGCAGCGGTGCCTCGCCCAACTGAAAATCGTCTATGTCCGTGACCAGGCCCTGTACCTCCACTGGCTGGTATGCTGGCGGCGTCGCCTCCACCTCTGGGGTGGAAGAAGGTGTTGCATATTCAGCTGGACCCCACCTGAGCAAAAGAAAGCATGCTTGGTTACATTGACAAACTGCAGTGCACCCGCAAGGATGATAGGCATATATGAAGAAGCTAGATTGGAGCCGACGAGGTGAAGCAAAGCATTGGTGGGAACGCAAACTTTGGGAGGCTAGCTGCATGTGTGTTGCGCACGCATGTGCGGTCTTAGCAGCAGGTAACACAGAAAAGCACCTAAACAGCCATGGCTTATCACGTCCATCTCATTCATCCAATGCAGGTGAGAAGGCACTGGGTAACAGAAACATGCATGCAACCAGTTGCGTGTTTCCCACAGCCTTGCACAAAAAGTATCAGACATGCATGCAAAGTACAGTACTGGGGAGAAGGGCACCTGTGTTGCTCCAACAAAATGGGTGCAGTGGTTGTCTATGTTCTGGGGAGATGCCCAAGACCATGGTGTTATCCATGCATATGCTGCAATACTCACACTGGCAACAAGGGTGAGGTGACTAGAACACTCCACAAACAACTGAAAACCTCCCTGTTAAAAAAATACTCGCCTTCGGGTGCCTCTCGATTTCACATTCAATGCAGGTTCATAATCCCCTGCACTGGCAGCAGAAGTCCCCGCCAAAAGGGTAGGGGCAGTCCCAGTCAAATCTGCACCAGCGTCTTGTCCCCATGTGTTTGCAGAGGCACTTGGCGTTGGTGTTGGAGCTTTCGCTGTCTGGTAGGCCTCGTATCTCAGCGTCACTGAGGACATTGCTTCCACAGCCGAGTCAAAGCATTGTCATGTGGGCTGCCACGTTCAGCTCACTGCATGCTAATTTGATCAACACTTACTGGCCTGGATGTTTCTTTGTTGGGTTGATGCAAAACAGAGAACACCAGAACCACAACTACCATTCAGGCCATTTTCTAGAGATGTGAGCATGCAAGTTCTCCTTGCAGTCCTGCAGGGCCATTTGTAGCATTTGGGTCCTGTCTCTATATTGAATTTGGGTAACAACATTTGACCATCGCTTCCAGCCATAGTTCAGACGAATCTGCAGCTCCTTTTCTCACTATCAGGGATCATCTTCAACAACTGTCTCTTCGTCTACTGAAACGAAATATGTCAGGCAATGAAGCCCCTACCCAAATAAAACTTGTGACAAGGTACTTTCTGCACATTATGACAAGCGATTCTCAATCTTGCAGTCAATGGGAGACTGTGGAGCAGCATATGTGCAAAGCTGCAACATTCCTGCTCAACGGCACTCTTCGCGTCTCAATTTCCTGTTCACAATATTTTGGTATCATAGGAGTTGCATACCAACTGTTCAAAAGGATCCATACCAAAGACTCCTTTGTGACAATCCACAGCTGCACCCACCAGCATCGAGTGCATCAGTTGATGAGGTGGGCCTGATCACGCCCATCTCCAGCTGCTGTTCTGGAGATATATACGGTGCAGCACCAGCCTGTAAGGCATCCTGCACGTAGGCATTCAGAAAAGAAAGGGAACGCAATGTTGGCATCTCGTCTTCAAAGTCCTCACAAGATGCATCGGCTGGAAGCACAGCTGACTTGACCTGTGGCATGCTGCAGAAAGCAAAACACAGCATCACTCGAGAACTCAAATGCACTGCATGTTTCAACAAGAACAACATTCTTGGTTAGTCAATTGGTGTCCTCACAGCTGAGCCGCTTTGGCGTGATTGAATTTCTCTCTGAAAGGCATGAGATCAGAGGACAAATAAAGCCATACTCTTGCACACCGAAAGAAACACTGAGGATGCACAGTGAGTGATCAGCACAAGAAGCTGTCTCACTGTTCTGCAAGCCAGCAAACGATAATGGAAATGGGTGCCTGTGCTTTGCTCTGTCGCCTGGCTGTACCTCTGCAACGACTGCAGCTCGAGGGCCCTCTGTTGCAGCTCAGTGCTCTTTGAAGACGCGGCCTTTCTTACCAATTCCTCAGCATCGGGTGTCAAGGCGACGCCGGTCTGGGCACCAAGCTTCAGGAAAGCTGAAAGAATGTATCCTTGCAGCATCTCTGTGCAGTCTTGGGAGTGCATCAGACTGGCAAGCCTGTCCATGATGTCATCTGGGCTGAGGCCGCCTTCTGGAAGATGCTTTCCGAGGGCACCATATTCTCCCAACACCCAGCACACGACCTGAATCCAGAAAGAACGTCGAACACTTTTCGTTTTCTTGACTCCTTGGAATCCAACTGCCTGTGTGGGACAAGGGCTATTGTTTGAAGCAAATGTAGCAATACTAAATTCATGGTACTAATCATCGTCTATGATGTAAGGTACAGGGGCTTCTTTTCCAGATATTGACCAATGCATTCCACAGAGAATTCGATCAAATGCGAGTTTGCCTGCATGCGTTCCTGGCATCAATGACAAAAGCATAAACAACAGCAGTGGTTTGAACTTATCTGGCAAATACCATCGCTCAGGTTTACAGCAACATGCCCTCCCTTTGGCTGGGCTGGGGAAATTGCTACTGTTTCCAGTTTTGCAAAAACATCCTCTTGTTAGAAGTTGCCAGGCACCAGAGCATGCCAGTTGTGACAAACAAATGGCACACTGGGTTGTCTTCGATGTGTGCATATCCAAGCAACGTCCAGAAACCAATGTGCACCAGGCGCACACCCACAATATCCTTGTAGAAAAGGCAAGACGCCCAAATGCTATGCAGGCAGTTGCTCCACAACCAAGCCAGTTGAAGTGCATGGGGGCATACCTGGAGCAAGATCTCTGGTGCTTTTGGATTCTCCAAGGCCTTTGTGCAAATCGCCACTGCACTTTGGTGCACATCAGTCTCCTGCTCTGCAATGAGCCTCATGAGGTTGTGTGCCAGCTTTGGCTCAACAGCATCCCCCGCAACACCAAACATCAGTGTCATTGTCTCAATGTACCATTGGTTGTCAGGAGCATACCTCTCTGCCAGCTCGCTTACTCGACGACAAATGTCCTGTTTGATGTGCTGGTCTGCACAGGTCTCCAAATAGCTTATCAGCTTATCCACCACAACCTACACAGCAGAAAAATAGAGAAATCAGCAGTTGACAAATGGATAATTCGAAAATTGGCTTTGACTTGGCTGACTATGTTTGTTGGCTAGTATGGGTCCCAAATTTGCCGTTCAGCCTATCAGAGTATCTGCAGCAAAGAGGACATGGCGTTGGGATGAGTCTGTGGCTAGACTTGAGCCTGCCATCGCCCTGAAGGTGCAAGGACAGTGGCGAATTAATTTTGCCACCTGCAATCGATCAAAATACCTTCCTCCACCCATTCCCCCTCCCATTTACCTCGTCATGCCAACACTCACCTCAACATTATTGGGCTTTGTCATCTTGTACAGGAGCTCCAGTGTCTTTAGCTTCAATGTGTCATCAAAGTCCTCTAGACACTCCATGACAGCAGCTTGATGCTCCTGTGCCTGACGGGGATTTATGCGGACGATCCCACCCAGCGCAGCCATGCCCATGTACTTCAAATTGTGGCTGCTTTCGGACTTCAGGAACCCAGCTATTGTCCTGGCAGCTGCACAGTAAGCACAACAGATTGTCACCAGATGGCAGTTCCCTAGTTCACAACGCCTGAATGGATTTTGTGTAAAAGCAATGGAGGATTATTGAACTACAAATGGCTGAGGCTGGGCAAGCTCAGCATCGCAGCTGTACACAAGTTGAGCAAATGTATTTCAGGACCAAAAACTGGGTCATTACCATCACAACGTTGATTGATACAGCATGTGGCTCCACATACACGATGCTGCTGGTACTCCTGCAATTAGCTTGGGTTGTGCAATTCCTATATTCAAACATGTAACACGTGAATCAAGGTGCCACCCAAAGCTGACAGATGATATGTGGGCTTTGTGCCATCGTACAAGAAAATCGAGGCGATGCAAACCCTAGCAAGGCAATTCATACTAACTGGAGTGCACTATCTCGAAGTAGACAAATATGGCACTCTTGGTTTGGTTCGCATGTCTTGGACCTTTCAGGGACAACACCAAGTGGGAAGGGCATGCGCAACACTGGGGAAAATGCGAGTGTATTCCAATACCTGCCTCAAGCAGCTGTGGGTCGGGGCTGATGGTGGTTATTGTGCGAACACACTCATACAGCACGGCATGCCCAATTGTGTTCTTCATACTGCCCTGCTTCAGGACTGACAACAACACTGAGCGCATGTTTTCTGTCGATGGCCGATCACCAGCACCAAGATCTGCCAAAATCTTCAGGAGTTTGATCTGCAACACCAAGAACACAGCATTCAATCCAGGATACTCCTGTGATGATTAAAGTTATGGGAATGATTGAACTGCACAAAATCTGTGAGCAGGTGCAACTGCAACTGTTATCTACCAATGGAGCCTTTCAGTATGCACCTATGCTGGTGTTTCTCACTGCAAGCCCACCATCCGGGGGATTTGTGAATAGAGGCTAATCTCAGCCCACCTGGATGAATGGCGCTGGCACATGGTGGTACTCATATCCCTTGCTCAGCCGGTGCTCAAACACCTGAAAAAGGCAAAGGCATACTTGGGCAGTTACAGAAGGCAACAACAGATCCACCCCTTCCTCTGAAGGGAACACAGCTGGACATGCAACTACAGCAATTTGGCTGTCTCACGTTCTGAGAATCCCTGGGACACCTGGAATCGAATGCAGCTGCTCTGCAAACGCATGACCTTCAGTGTGGCCACATTTCTCTTCCAAAGTCTTTCTTCGCGTCACAGAGCAATCAGAAGTATTTCGCAACAGAATTTGTTCGTCCTCTCATGGACATGAGATATTCCCCGCAACAGCGCTGGCCACATACCTGCTTGAGAATGGATATAAGACTTGGGATCAGATTCCTGAAAGCAGGCGTATTCATTTTGATCATGTCGTGCAGGGCACATAGGCAGGCTGCCATCACAGAGGGGTCCTGATGAGCATGAACTGGAAATTGTGAGTGCTTACATCTTCTTGCAAATCAGCACACAGAATGAAACCAAGACAAGCCAATCCCATTAGACCCTTGCAGCAGCCAGGGACATGACCATCAGTACAGCTTCAGAACAACCGCATCCTTGTCCCCAGGAACCATGACCATTGCTGAACACAACTCTGCATCATTTTCCTGACATCTCAACAGGCATATCCCAGACCCCTCGTTCTCGTTCAAGGGGTAATCTTCACCCATTGGCTGTTAGATAAGACACAGGATGAGCACCACTGAGACAATAAATCGAATTGATGGCATGTGGCTTCTTCAATCTCACCTTGTCACAGAGCGCCTGCCTGAATTGCCTATCCAGATCCACACCTGCCAGTGGGCCTTCACTCTTAGGGTCCAACTGGAAGAACCTGTGCAGGGCCATAACTGCCTTTTTGCGGACCACTTCCTTTGGGTGCGAAATGAGCTTCACCACCTGGGGAACGATTGGTCCAATGGCATCGGTGTTCACAAGCTTGCAGATGGTCGTCAGGGCAGCACACACTGCAAAGCATGCTCAACTGTCAACACCCAGCATAGACACACTGTGTGAGACTTGCATGCACTGGAACTGTGTTGTTAGGCTGTTGAGAGGGTCCAAGGAAGTTGCAATCAAAGAAGACTTCCACCTGTTTGACCGTTCGAGCTCAGTCACAGGATAGCAGGCAATGACGGGAGTCCAACTGTGAGCATGTACAGCACAGGTGATGGTGCGAGGCAGTGACGAATGTGCTGCCAGTTGAATGCAGTAGTGTGTTTGCTTAGGAAGATTCTGCTTACTAACAATCGGCTGGCATGTGCTCCAACACTTTGCCACCTTGTCAATATGGTGCATTTGCTACAAATAGAAACAGCGTGGTCGAGCTCAATTCTGAAAAACATGACCAAGGCAATACCATTACAGTCGTTTACAGTGCTGGAAGGGCAAACTACTGCATGCCTGGTATACCATGTTTGATGGGAGCTACCATACCTCATCCTGACATGTTATGGAGCAAAGCCCCATGGTACCATGTGTGGAATGTCGGAATGGTACATACTGAGATAAAAGAGAGGATGGTTGGGAGAAGAACAGCAAATAGACTGTCTATATTTGTAGACAGCTCATGACCATGGTGATCATGAATATCGATATCCTTTCAACAAATAGCGCACTAATTGACCTGTTTTGAACCTTGTGACAGGATATTTGACCAATGATTTTGCCGCTCACAAAGCCATCAATAAGCCCCTTGGTTCCCTATGTGTAGACCAGTGCCAAAACTGCCAGATTCTTAGGTTTGCGCTGCTACTCACAAGGAGTACAGTAGGCAAGAGAAAGATCATGACGATCAGCCAGTTCTGCCACAGCCCGAAATGACATGCCAGAAATGTTCAAAGATTGTGGATGTATGTACGTTGATGCCATAACAGCATGCACCAGTGACACACAAAATTAATGCCAAGAACAATTCTACAGCTGAGGTTAACGCTGTTACAATGTTTTCAACAAGTTCGCACATGCTGTCCCAGCATTTTTGACTCGCTCCTTTCTGCACAGCAAATCACAGGATGTGTACATAATCGCCTGTCCTGAATTAATGGCTGCTGTGTGCATGCAGGTAAGGTGCATAGCACCCAGGTCAAAGCTTGTAGAGTTTGGCAAGACAAAAGTCGATCATGAGTTGGTCAAGGGACTCACCAATTAGATGGTTGTCGCTCTGCAGATCTGTTCTCCAAGTGTTCACCAGCAAGAGGATGAGAGTGTTGCTGCTGTCAAGGAACTGAGTCACAGCCAGATAGGACACCTGTGTGCACACAAAAGAAACTCCTAAAAATCAACCCACTCACGAGCATCTGGGTATCAACTCTTTGATGCAGGTTGCTGAAGCCCATCTTCTTGCTATGTTGCCAATCCAATCACAGCCTACTCTGGAAACAAGGGTTGGCCATGAGGGTCGAATGGAGTTTGTTCCCATCACCATTGATGAGCCCCACTGTTTTCCAACCGCACTTGAAGCCTTTCAAATCAGTTTTCCGGTACGACAAGGAGTCTCATTTCACAATGGTTCTGTAGTGGGAAGCGTCCATTGGAAGGCATGATCCTTTTCTGCTGAACAGATTGTCGCTTGGGCCCTTCTTTCCTCTGGCCCCTCACCATCTTCGTCACCAGAGAGTTGCTGCCGCATCCCTGAACGGCGAGAAAATGCCCGAAACTGGCGTCATGCCCCAGCATCTCGAAGTAGATCAGCTTTATCAACAGATCCTTCACGCTGGCCTTGTCCATCTTGCCATCCTTCAGAATGGCCTTCGTCTGGTCGATGCTGCGACCCATAATCCTGTCCTCCTCCGACTTCGACTTGCAATCCCCGATGGCGCGGATCAGCCTCTCCAGGTCGTCCCCCAATCGTGTGCGGAAGCGGCCGGCCATGCTGAGACCGGACAGCGGGTTGCCCCGGGCGAGTTTCGACCTGAGTACAGGGACGCACATCTGTCAGAGTGAGAAAGGCCCCCCAAGGCGTCTGCGTTGAGCTGCCACAAACCACACAGGCACGGGTGTTGCTCGTGCCTGCGACGACCCTTGGGTCCAGGGGAAGCCCAATTATGCGATGCGCCCGGGGTGGCGCTGCGGCCAAGATCCAGGAAGGCATGAGCCGATTCCCCGGAGCGCGATGATTAGGCTGCGAAAGATGCGGAGATTCCATAGTGTCCCTGGAAGGCAGCAGCACTTTCTTTCCCCGAGCCATCTCCGCGCGCAGGAGTGTCCCCTTTAGGCTCGCTGACATGCAGGACCACCGACCCAGTGGGACGGCAGCCAATTTCACCGTCCACAGCGGCAGTGAATGGGCTGCGCAGCGCGCCCATTCCAGTGCAATGGCTCCAAGCTTCCTGTCCAAAGGAAGGTACTATCGCGGGGACCAGGAAGCGAGCCGCTGAGCGGGCAGCCCCTAATTCGCACCGATTGGTTGCGTGCCTCTGCGGGCTTCAGCCCCGCTTTGCCGTCAAATCTCGCTTCTGAGCGTCACGACCACCGGGGACTTCGAACAGCGGAAAGCGGGCAAGGAGGACCAAGCCACGCCCTTGGGGGGGCCCAGGCGGTGGTGTGGCGCCTGTGGCTGCGGAGAGGGTGTGATGGGCAGCAGGTGTCCAGGGTCTCCCCCTAAAAATCGACGTGCCGACATGACCGGCAGGTGCGCAAAAATGGACCAAAAGATGCCCATGGACACACTAATTCTCACTGCACAGCCCGGATCCCCAGCAAATCCAGAACAACATCATGCATGCCATCCTGGCCTGTCGCTCGCGGGGCCTCTTTGTGCGTTTGGTGGGCGCACTGCGCTGCTGCCGTCAAGGAACAACGCCCCAGTGTCTGGCCCGTCGTTGGGGCCACAAGCATGTGAGCTCGGAAGGTCCCAAGGAGGTGTCTGTTTTGCAGTTAAGTTGGGGGCGCAGCAGCGGTCGTCTGTTTGTTGTTCAAGGAAGCCTGCAAAGCACGAGATTACAGTTTTTACAGCTTGTGCACCAGGAAACGGCGGCCCATGAGGAATCATGATGAAGGAGTTTCTAGGGCTTCGATGTATGATATGACAATTATGGCATTCAGGGATTGATGCGCATTGGTGACTTGAAATCACACTGGTGAGCGCGCACCCGTCTGTTCCTGCCATGGATCCTCAAAGGCACGCCGTTTGACCCTGAGTGCGACAGAAATTGCTAATCAAGCCTTTGCAAGGCCTCGTTCTGCAGACCACAGATACTGGCATACCAATGAACTGGACTGCTGGCCTTTCAAACGCCCTGCACCATCAGTCCAACAATCCAACAGTCAAGCCCGAGGGCAGGCGCGACAGCCCGTCCCAATCCCAAGTCCGGGCCTGAACGAAAACCCTACCTTCCACTTCATAGCCGGCTCTCTCTGTTGGGTGGAAGGGCGCTTAAGGGAGTTGGACTACCCTCTTCCTACCCCTGTTCCAGGTGGTTTGGTAGAGCAGTGGGACACCCCATCCGGATGTAGGTCGACCCCGGTTAGACATTCTCTTGCCATATGTTATGCCGGTGCCCTTGATGAGGCAGCACAGCAGCCGGCTCCTTCGCAGATGCCCGGCGGGGTGTCGCGTAGGTGAAACAGGCCCTCGAGGCCTATGACCGTCGCGGTCCGTCAACCGTCAGTCATTACAAAAGGTGTCCAGCCCTTTATATGCCCGTTCCAAATCCCGACAGTTTGTCAGAGCGTACAGGTTGCTTGACAGCGTGTTCACTCATATGTCTTGACTGGCACTTCACCCACATCATACTGGCAGCCCCCGCTGGGATGAAACCCCGAGAAGTCACCCTGAACTCACTAACCCGTCTCCCCTCTACGTTCTGTCCCCTTGCGCCCACACCTATACCTCTAGGCCGGCCTACCTGGACCCGTCCATCCGCCGACGTTCTTGAGGTCCCTACCCACTAACTCCCTCACGCCCACGTTCTCCCACACGGCTAGTAGCCGTCGGCTACCCGTTCCATACCTACGCCCCCGATCCAGAGGTGGGCCGTCCAGGAACGGGGATGGACTAGGAACGGGGACGGGGATGGGAACGGGGACGGACAGGAGTCCGTCCCCGTCCTTGGGCCGGCAGGCCCAAGAACGGCCAGGGACAGCTCCGTCCCTGGCTGGGAACGACTGGGACGGATCTGGGACGGTATGGCCCACCTAGGAGTCCGTTCCTGTACTGCCCAAGGCCGGTCTAGAGTCCGTTCCAGGCCGTTCCGAAGGCCGTTCCAGGCCGTTTCGAAGGCCGTTCCAGGCCGTTCTGATGGCCGTCCCAGGCCGTTCTGGAACCCGTTCTAGAAGCCGCTCCACAATACATAACAATATCAAATTCATGCGTGGACCAATAAGAATGCAGCGATCAGATTTGACGCATGGGCCGCGCGCCCCACGGTCCACAAACGTGGTGCCCCTGCCCCCCTGCGACACAGTTTGCGCCTGATGCGATGGGTGGCAAGACCAAGCAGACGCAGCGGCGGCGGCATGTGAAGGCCAGGGAGTCACGGCCCCCGGCCCGACATCACCAAGGCGGCCCCCCACAGCCTGCGGCAGGGGATGCCCGGGGCCAGACAGAGGGGCGCCCGGAAAGGTGGTCCCCCACCCCCCAAGGTGAGGGATCCGGGCATGCGGGGATGGCGGTGGTGGTGGCAGCGGTAGGGGGGGAAGGCCAGAGGACGTCTGTTGGTGGCAGCGCCCCACTCCCGGATTTGTTTGACTTTTCGCATTTGGTGGCGGGGGGCCTGGGGGACTTGGATTTGGAACCCAGCGTGGAGGGGGCTCTGAACCTACAACAGCTGCCAGCTGTTGGGGCATCTGAAGGGCTGTTGCCGGCCGGGGATCCCGAGGGGGCGTCTGTGAGTGGCAGGGTGGGGTCTGCATCTGTACCGGCGGCGCCACCTGGGGCCCCGTTGACGGCATCGGGGGCGGCCGCCTCTGGAAGCGACGTGAAGCGCGCGGCCGGCGGCGAGGGTGGGAATGCACCCTCAAGGGCAAAGCGGGCCCGAATGGAGGGAGGGGGTGGGGTGGGGGTCGCCTCTGGCAGCAATAGGTGTGTGGCCCCACCATTGGGGCCCGGGCAGGGCGGCAGCCGGTGGGTGAAGCCATTGTATGTGGAAGAGGAGGGGCGGCCTGGCATCCTTGCAAGATACGACAGTGTTACGGGGAAGGAAGACGACCACAGCAAGATCATTTGCCGCATATGCGACAAAGGGATTTCCTTCAAGTCGTCATCCTTCTCGACTGCGGAAAAGCATATGGGGCACCACAAGGTCACGCGACGGACGCTGTCCGTTGCCGTGGAGCTGGCAGACAAAGCACGGGCGGATGGTGTCGGCGACAGCTTTGTGCAGAAATAGCCGATGGGGGCCACCAAAAGCAACAAAACGATGCATTTTGCGCGCAAATGCAAGAAAAAACCATATCAATAGGGATGCACACAAACGTGCCATTTTTCGGGGCCCACACGCGTGGGAAAACCACAATGTTGCGCACAAAAAGAATGGGTATGAAGCCGGTCTGGGACGCCTGCAGCCAACCACAATCAATGCATGCGACCCACAGGCTGTGGGTGCAGCATGGCTTCGCACTAACAATTACAACTGGCGATGCACACTATGGAAATCACAAGCCGCTAGTTATAGAAGTGGCCCCTCCCCTGTCTAGCACATTTCATCCCAACGCTCCAGCTCCGCCTGGAGACGCCGTTTGTACTGGGGGTGGATGCACCCCCTCCCAACCCCATTGGCCTCCAACCAAACATCGCAAATAACGTTGTCGGAGGACACCTCCCCCTGCATTTGCCGCCCTTCCACCCAGCGCCCATTGAGCTGGGCATCGTCCGCGGCGTCAAAACGGAGGGTCCCCAAGTTGTAGGGGG